ACAAGGCGACAGCCAAAAACGTGAACATCCTTCAAAACGCGGCCATCTGGTACGCGTGCTCCGTGATGAAGCGCGCGAACGGCACAGCATCCCAATAGGATACCGAGCGTGCTGTGCGCCGGCGACCACCTCCNCCCCCCCCCCCCAGGTTTGGATTTCGAACTAGCTTTTTCAACTCGGTCGCGAGTTTAAAGTTTCTGAAATTTTCGACTGCGCAGAGCGTTTCCATTTATTTTTGGCCCGAGTTGAAAATTTATTTCTCAAAAAAATCGATTTTCCAAACGGTAGGAAGCTCTGTTCGGCTGGGAATTGAAAATTTCAATTGCTCAACTGGATTTGTTCAAACCGTAAGCAACCGGCTGATAGTCAATTTGACTTGAAAACTGGAAAAGCTCTGTCTTGACAACCAATGCATCAATTCGGAAAAAAAAGGAAATGGCGTGCGCAGCGTGCCCACCCGTATCAGTTCGGGTGCATTAATATATAGTTTGTGTTTTCTTCGGTGAATATAACACCATACACGTACATTTTTAGGTCAGTGGTGAACAATCGCTGTCGCAAAGCGCAGGTCAAGGGTCCATGTCCTGGCCATTGCACTTTTGTTCTTTTTTGCACTTTTTTTACTTGAACAAAGAGTAGTTAAACTTTTTTTTTCCTTTTCGTTTTTCACCACGCTAGTCTTGTGGGCGCCGCCGCGGGCGTCCGTGCGATGTTTTTTTTTTCAAACGGTGCTCTACATGAAAAGTTATGGAGGAACAAGCAAAATCGGCTTCTTGACAATTACCACTTTAGATGGTCGACCGAACCCGGTCGCCAGCCGTGTGCATTTTGTATGACGCATGGCCGTCGCAACGGATCCTCGCGGATGCAAACATGAAAGCGCTTGTGGCCCGAGCCTCTCACCCAACAATAACATGGAGTACAGTTGTAGCGTAGGTGAATTGTTACACGGAAGAACGTGCTACAAAAAATACCGGGATGCAACCCGCCAATAAATAAATACCATTGGGCACGCGGTTTGTGCCTTCACTGGCGCTTACGTGCCTCCTGATTCTACCGCGGCAAGTGCGACGTTAATATTCTCCTAGTTACGGATCTCTTTTCCAGTCTCATCTATAGCATGCGACACGCGGCAGGGTGTGTGCTTTCCAAGAGAAGCATTGCGCATGATCCGTGTGCTCGTCTTTCAACACCTACCTGTGTTCACCCCAAGAAACTCTTGGAGGATCAGTGCCCGCCCCCCCCCCCCCCCCC